TCAAAATATGAATAAATACTCTAATGGTATATAAATATTAAGGTACTAAAATAACCAAAACCGAAAGAAAAAAAAATAACTAAAGAATTAAATAAAAATAATAATAAAAATGACAAAAGCTAAGAAAATTACTAAAACTTATTTATTAATTTAAAATTTACAAATTAAAATGAAAACTGAACATATAAAAATCTAATTCAAAAAATGTATAAATACTACTACTACTACTATTTATAAATACTACAAATATACTACGACGGTATATAAATGTTATGAAAATAACACGAAGGATGTAAAAACACAAAAAGGTATCATAACATTGGTCTATATTACATTTTTCGTGTCTTCTTAAGCTATATGATAGCTTTGCGTGATAAACCACAATTAAGTTATTCGAGTCAAGTGAGTTTAAAAAAACTTTAGAGCGAGTAAATGAATACAGAATTTCATGTTTGGATGAACTGTTTCTTTAAACCCAAACTGAAATCCTTATCTAACTCTCATAGCCAGTGTTGGGGAAAGTTACTTTTAAAAGTAATGCATTACCTCATAGCTTCCATAACATCAGCTTTTTTGATCTAATCCTCTTTCTTATAATCCTTCAACACAGCTGCTGTGAATTTGGCCATGTGTGCTTGTGTGGACTTCATGCGGTTCTGTCCTCTATATAAAATCAGAGGTGCGGACACTCCAAAGAATGACTGTGAGAATCTCATTCCCAGCGGTACACGGCGTCTGGACGGAGGTGCCGGGACGGAAACAGAAAATGCAACATTTGCATTTAAAAAGGTGACATTTGCAATGCTGGTCTGGAGGCGCAGGCATGAGAGGAGAGACAGGTGCTGGGATAGCCCATATTCATCTCGGTGACAGGAGGACGACAATGAAAATGTCAAAGCCAAGAGTTAGACAGCACACCAAATCACACACAAACACACAAGCTCAGAAACGAAGGTCGCTGTCCAAAATAACCCTGACAATCCACCCCCTCATCTCTCAAACCCATGTGGAGATAAATTGGTGGCTGTTCGAATCGACTTTTACCTCATACCAGAGTAATTACGTGAAAACAACGACTGGAAATTGTGATATCTGTTGTAGACGACTTCAAGTTGCATGCATTATTTATGTGAAAAGTGGAATAAATTATAATGTAAACACAGACTGCTTAGACCTGAGGAGCATATGATTAGTGCATTGAATTGTCTTCATTGTTTGTGAAGTGCAGGCGGGTCGTTTGGAGTTCATGTGGCGGTGTTGGTGCTGGGGCTTGTTCGCTCTGTGGTTCTGATTGGCTGCGCTTGAACAATGAACTACTAGATGCAGAGTGGAAAATGTGAGTTAAAGAATTTCAATGTTTTCTGAACAAGGTAAAATGGTAATGTCAATGATTTTTGGCCATGTACTATGGGGTAATACGTTTCTTTAAACATGTACATTACCTGCCAAAAACTAATATTTTGAAATATTATTGCAATTTCAAATAACTGCTTTCTATTTGAATATATGTTAAAATGTAATTTATTCCTGTGATCAAAGCTGAATTTTCAGCATCATTACTCCAGTCTTCAGTATCACATGATCCTTCAGAAATCATTCTGATATGCTGATTTGCTGCTCAATAAATATTTCTGATTATTATCAGTGTTGAAAACAGTTGTGCTGCTTCATAGTTTTGCAGAAAACATGATACTTTTTTTTTCTTCAGGATACTTTAATGGACAGAATGTTCATAAGAACAGCATTTATTTTAAAAGGAAATCTTTTATACATTATAAATATCTTTGCTGTCATTTTTTCCCCAATCAAATGCATCTGTGCTGAATAAAAGTTTTTTTTATACACACACACACACAACGATTCAGGGTTATTAGAATTAACTAAAACTAAAACTATTTTAAAAGGTTAGTTGAACTTGATGTACTAAAATAACTAAAACTGAAATAAAATTCACAAAAACTACATAGACCGCATGCGCGACCAAAATAAGAAATGCGCTGTGTAAATTAGTTCAGAGCATGCGTTTGCGTACCGACATGGTTGACAGCTGTTAATGCACAATTACCATTTTAGATCGACAAACTTTACTGTTTACGATTTCTATTCAAACTGAAAGCATAAATCATTTTTTAATGATTAAAAAAAGCATAAGCATAATAATTATGCACACCTGAATATAAGACATTTTTCACTTCCAGCCTTCATGAATATTTATATATCAATTATAAATGATTAAATACAAGATTAATAGTAGTTATAAGAGTGATGTTGTTTGGAATTGGTAAAATGTGCTTGGAAAAAAATATGATCAGAATAGCAACTTGCATAATAATTATGCATGCACTGTATTTTTCTTCTTCTGCTGTCATCAGCAATGCAAGGAATGTTGTGATTGGTTGTCAAGGCAGCCAAGTCTCTGATTGGCTGGAATTATGGCATATTGTAACGTTGGGTTGTGTTGAGCAAGCGAGCCGTTGGCATTTAGAGAGCACTGAGGGTTGAACTTGATGTACTAAAATAACTAAAACTGAAATAAAATTCACAAAAACTACATAGACCGCATGCGCGACCAAAATAAGAAATGCGCTGTGTAAATTAGTTCAGAGCATGCGTTTGCGTACCGACATGGTTGACAGCTGTTAATGCACAATTACCATTTTAGATCGACAAACTTTACTGTTTACGATTTCTATTCAAACTGAAAGCATAAATCATTTTTTAATGATTAAAAAAAGCATAAGCATAATAATTATGCACACCTGAATATAAGACATTTTTCACTTCCAGCCTTCATGAATATTTATATATCAATTATAAATGATTAAATACAAGATTAATAGTAGTTATAAGAGTGATGTTGTTTGGAATTGGTAAAATGTGCTTGGAAAAAAATATAATCAGAATAGCAACTTGCATAATAATTATGCATGCACTGTATTTTTCCTCTACTGCTGTCGAAGTAATGCAAGGAATGTTGTGATTGGTTGTCAAGGCAGCCAAGTCTCTGATTGGCTGGAATTATGGCATATTGTAACGTTAAATGATTATGTATAACTTTGAATATATATTCTACAAATGTTATTTATCTTAATTTGATTAAAAACATAACTGGTGTGTATTGTGTTGGCAGTCCTACAAAAACCATAAGTCTCAAATGCGCAAATATCGCAAATATCTGAAAGAATCGCAGTGTTTAAGGTCTCTAATCTTGCTGAGTTTATTTATTGCTGCTCGTCCCAGCCAAATCCCTTCCTCATTAATATCCATTACAGAAAAAGGAAAACAGTTACTCTAGGTTTGCATCCAAATGTACACATTTTAAGCATATGTATTTGGGGATATTCTAATATTAAGGCATTCCACAAGCTTGCCCCCATTTCCAAATATTAACAAGCATCTCATATTTTAATACTCCTCCCTTGAAAGACAATTATCCTTAATCAGGATCTTTCATCGCTAGTTTCAGTCTCTGTGTTCCCATGACTGCTTTTATCAGAGGAGAAAATTATGGGCCAACTATTACCCAGAGTATAGTTTTACAGGCAATAAATAGCATTATGCGGTTGTAGGCGCTGTTTTATTCATTAATTCATTTGTCTTATCTTTATTTTGGAACGACTTTGGGATAAAGAAGAGGCGGAAACGAGAGCATTAAACACCCAAAATTGAAAATTCTGTCATTATTCACTGTTGACTACTTTTGTGATGCTTTTTGCAATTTTCAAAGCTTGAGAGAACTTGGTCACCATTCACTTTCAGTGTATGGAAAGGGCCAGCATTAGCTTTCTGCTATATTTCTCCTTTTGTGTTTCACATAAGAAAGTAAATTATAAATATTCAGATTAAAAATTATAAATATTCATAGAAAGAAAGAAAAACTTTTCTTTTAGAAAACAAGATTTATTTATTTTTATTTATTATTTTTCTTATTATTTTTTTATATATATGAAATATTTTGCGAGCTGCAGCAGAGGGGAAGATTTTCACTGAATAACAACATTTTTTTTTTTTTACTCAAAATTATCAACTTCAGAAGACTTGAAATATATAGCGTTTGATTTACACTGATTGTTTTCATGGTGTTTTTTGTCATTTTTTGGGCTTGAGAGAAATTGGTCACCACTGACTTATATTGAATGGAAAAGGGCAGCGTTTACATTTTCCTAAATTTCTCCTTTTGTGTTTCACAGTAGAAAGTATAAAGACTTAGGTAAGAGTAAATATTCAGAATTTCATTTTGGACTTAATAATTTCTTTAAGAAAGAATAAATATTTTTCAATATATGCAAAAAAATGTTGAGAGCTGCGGCTGATAGGAAGACTTTCAGTGAATAACAACATAAATTGAATCTTTTTCACACAAATCTTTTTTACATCATATAACTTCAGAATATTTCAAATATGTAGTGCATGAGTAACAAGGTGCTTTTTGTCATTTTTTGTCAGATTGAGAGCCCTTGGTCGCCATTCACTTTCACTGTATGGAAAAGGGCAGCGTTAACATTCTGCTAAATTTCTCTTTTTGTGTTTCACGGAAGAAAGAATGTTATAAAGAGTTCGATAAGAGTAAATATTCAGAATTCTGGACTAAATTATTTCTTTAACAAAGAATAATAATTTTTTGAAGATATGCAAAATATTTCTGAGAGGATTTTCAGTGATTAACAAACTTAAATGTAAAACTTTTTTTTCACACAAATCTATCATATAACTTCAGAAGACTTAAACTATATATGCATGAGTTACACAGATTGCTTTAATGGTCTTTTTCTTGTTTTTGGAGCTTGAGAGCCCTTTGTCACCATTACATTTCATTGCATGGAAAAGGGCAGAGTTAACATTCTACTAAATTCCTCCTTTTGCGTTTCACAGAAGAAAGCTAGTTTTTCATAAAAGTAAATATCCAGAATATTCATTTTTGGACTGAATTATTTCTTTAAGAAAAACAGGAGACTTCTGTGTGTAAAGCTGACATTTCCAAGGAAAGAATGAAATCTTACCTTCATTAACACGGATTCGCTGAGCTTTTCTCGGTTTACGATCTTTATGGCGACTTTCTGACATGTGACACAGTGGACCCCAAGCTTTACGAGACCTGGAGGGAAAAAGATAGAAAAAAGAAAAGGTGAAAAGAAAAATATTGGTCTAATCACTGATCTGCAACATGGCTGAGCAATTGATTCCCTCACAATTTAATCACAAGTGCACAAAACCCCTCTCACAGGCCATTTCTTGTTACACACCAAAACGCAAGCATGTTTCCCGCGGCATCTGTGAGACGCTTCATTCATATCTCAAGACAAACAGCGTCAGGTGCAGCAGATGAGCAAAACTGCGAGAGGAATTGATGGCGAACAGCTACCTAAAGGCCTTTCTGCTTTATCACTTGTGACGTGGAGTTTCATGGTGCGCGAGCAGCTCAATTTCTCCGAAACATCTGAAACACTTTTATTAGTCAAAGTGCTAAATGTTTACAGGCTTTACGCTTCATGCTTCCCCTTCACTTCTCAATACTACAACACATTCAAGGACTTTCTAAAGAAACATCTTTAGCGTAAACACCTCGGGTCCTTCCGTGATTGTTGAGCAAGTGTTTTCAAATGAGACGAAAGCCACTAAAGACGATTCAGCAAAGTTTTTTGCAGCTCTACACCTAGTACAATTTGAATTGAGTAGATAGGGAGGGTTGGACGTCTGCGCAAGACAAGATAATGAATGTTTCATATCCTAAGGTGCAAGCGTATCGGAAAACTGACAGGAGCATAAATGGAAAACGCTGTGATTTGCAAAGAAGATGCAATTAATGTTTTTGGTTTGTAATAAAGTGTAAGAACCCCCACCTCATCCCTGATGACACTCAACAGACACTCCTGAAGAACCTCTGCTCTCATGGGACTCAATGGCTCTTTATGAGCTGTGGAAAAATGGCTGGTTTTGAAGAGTCTTAAGATGGAGAGAAAAACTCTCCTCTGCTGAAGAGAGGATGGAATGATGATTACAAATTTTATGCCTTTAAAGGTACTGGACTGTTATATATATATATATATATATATATTTATTACATTACATTATAGAAACATGAACAAGACAAAACCCAAACACCACATTACAACACTATAAAGATGTATTTGTATAGCACATTTCACAATAAAAATCATCATTCGGCTCAAGTTTTTCTGTCTGCTATGCGTGTGAAGCAATAAGTGGCATATGAACTGAACTGATTCATTTTTCCCTGCTATTATGATCCTTGTATTAGGGTCTATGACGTGACAATCTTTTTTTTTTAATTATTATATATTACTTAATTTAATATTTTAAGTATACATTTAATTTCTTAAATAACATTCATTTTGAGATGAAAAACAAGAGAACATTTATCTTGATATTTCAAATTCTTACTTTTGATTCTTAAGAAAACCTTGTTATTATCTTTGATTGCTATTTCTTAGAAAAACATTAAGCAAAGTACCTGAATTATTCTTATTCAATAGCACATTACAAATGCAATTCATACATATAGTGATATCTGTACACCTTTTCTGATGAAAGTTTTTAATAAAAAAATCATTTTGATATAAAAAAAACAAAAATCATTAAAAAAATAAATACAATAAAATACAATAAAAATAAATAAATAAAATGTATTACTTTTCATATAAGAAAACTTTTAAGTAGTTTGCAAATATCTTTGATTAATGTTTCTTGGAAAAACATTAAGCAAAACAGTACTTGAAAAAAATTGTATTCAGTAACAAACAGACATACACAAAAAATGCAATTCATTCGTAAAATGAATTAAATACACCTTTACTCTGATGAACATGTTTTTATTTTCTAAATTAAAATTCATTTTGATATGAAAAAAATTTAAAAGTGCAATTGTCAGGGTGATATAACTGTCCTGATACCCTAATTAAGAAAAAACAAAACAAAACAAAACAAAACAATTATCTTCTATTATTCTTTTTTAGAAAAAAAAAAAAAATTATTTGCAATAATTTTTCGCAAATTAAAGTCATGCGGTTCAACCAACATGCAGGAACATGCACAAAATAAGGTCAATAAGCCTCTTAAAATACCAGATCTGACCTTTTAGGACAAGGGTTCAGGTTGTAAAATGTCATGTGGTGCGACTCCTTAATGATATTTATGAAGGAATAATGTATAATAATGTTCGCCATGAAAATTATATAGACCAAATATATAGCCCATATCAGCTTCAGCTTCTCCATGTGAAGAAAAAAAAAATGCTGCTATAATTACATTAATTTATGATAACCGATTCACAGTCCGGGTAGAACCAGTCTCAGGTCTGGATCTGGACTGCAAACTGCTAATTGGTGACCTCTGATATAGGGTGCACCAAACGGGACATATTATACAGTAAATCCCTGCACCCTTCAGGTGATCTGCCCTACCAAACCATAGACAGACAGAGAGGGAATATCATTCAAATGTCAGCCGCAGCTAATTAAACAATAATGACACTTGACAGCGAACTCAACAGAGAGTGTGTGTGTGTGTGTGTGTGTGTGTGAGTGAGTGAGTGAGTGTGTGTGGTGAGTGTGTGTGTGTGTGTGTGTGTGTGCAAAACCATTAGTATGGATCCAATCATCAGAGGTCAGCGGCTAGAAATAAAGAAAATCTCATAATGAGGAAAACAGGAATAAAAATACCCCCAAAATGAAAAAGCATCACTCAAAATGTCCTTTCTCATAATCAAAGCCCTTATGAGACTCAAGAGGAAAAGACTTTCATGCGCTGTGACCTATTCCAGCGAGCTATGATAATACACAAAGACATAAGCACAAAATATATATGTGGAGAACATCACAGTCAGGCGTCATACCCCATGACATTATCACAAAGATAGAGCGCATTAAGTCCAAGGGCAGAAGAAATGGCCTTATCAAAAAGAAGAAGAAAAAGCTATGCGACGGGGAAAATGCTCGGCGAAACCCTTCGTGTGCGTTTCATCTGCTCTGATGAGAATTCAAGAACACTTGGTGGAGTCTCGCCGTATGACTGACGACAGGGCGGCCACTCGCTCCGTATCGATTTCAGTCTTTGTGTGCCTTCCTGATCAATGAAATGAAAAGAGCTCCTGTCCACAGCAACATCATAATAATGGTCAAAAACACAATATTCACCTCGACCCAAGAGTTAATATATGCCTTAGCAAATATTACAGCTGCAGTTGTCAATAGCTGAGGAGATATACTTAATATATATGTTTAATATATCATAATATTTTATCATCATGTCTGAAGAGCTGCTGAACATTATAGGGATGGCATGTTTTGCTGTTTTATTCAACAACTGTGAATTTTTGAGCCACTGTTCTTACAAAAAAAGTACTGTTATGGTACCACGGTATTGATTGATTTCAATTTTTTTTTTAAAACATACATATCAAGTTTAAGTTCAAAAAAATTAATTAGTATGGTGATACTCTACTAGGTTTCTGGATGACTAGTCATTTATTATAAATAAGCGACCCTGAAAGCCCTACTACTATATACTGTATAAAAAGACTTACTGTACATAAAAAAAAAGAAGTTGTTTTAAAGGAATGGTTCACCCAAAAATGAAAATTTGTACATCAGGCCCTCAAAGATGTAGATGAGTTTGTTTCTTCATGAGAATAGATTTGGAGAAATGTAGCATTGCATCACTTGCTCAGCAATGGATCCTCTGCAGTGAATGGGTGCCGTCAGAATGAGAGTCCAAACAGCTGATAAAAACACCACAATAATCCACACCACTCCAGTCCATCAGTTAATGTCTTGAGGAGAGAAAAGCTGTGTGTTTGTAAGAAACAAATCTATTATTAAGAAGTTTTTAACTTCAAACCGTTGCTTCCAGTTAAAACATGAGTCCGCTATTCATAATACTGCTTTCTCCAGTGAAAAAGTCGTCTCGTCTGAATCAAGAGAGAAATCTGCACAGATCAAGCATCGTTTACAAGCCAAAACAGTCCAAAACAGCTCTGAACAAAAATGTGGGTGGATTTTGATGTGAGAGGACAACAGGAAATGGACATTTACACTGGAAGAATTTATTATAGATTATGGACTGGTATATTGGTGAGAAGCAACAGTTTAAAGTTAAAACACCTTGATGGATTTGTTTCTTACAAACACGCAGCTTTTCGCTACACAATATGTTAACTGATGGACTGGAGTGGTGTGAATTATTTGTTGATTATTATGATGTTTTTATCAGCTGTTTGGACTCTCATTCTGACGGCACCCATTCACTGCAGAGCAACCATCTGTGAGCAAGTGATGTAATGCTTTCTCCAAATCTGATTAATAAACACGCTTATGTGCATCTTGGGTGGCCTAACATTTTCTGCAAATGTTCATTTTTGAGGTGAGGCATTCCTTTAAAATAGCAAAACAGAAATAACATTAAATGTTTGAAAGAGAATAATGTTTAGATCAAATTGTTGATACTAGCTTGAACATCTTACCTAGAGTTCCCTTTACGTTATGATCATACTGCCAAAATGACCTCTATTTTCTCAGAAATAACTGACTCCAGATGCAAGACTTCTTTTTATTGCTCCTCAGGGACTGAAATAAGTTTTCTGCAGCTCTAATTTTGTTATCGTTCATTTTGTATATTCACACAAACTTGCAGAGCTTTTCTTCACATCTGCTGGCTCATGACTTGTGAGAGTTAAGGCAATTATCAGTAACAATCATCTTGTGTTCACTGTGATGCTAGCTCTCCTATCCGAGAGGGTTTATTAGATTTTAGCAAGTTGTAATTGTAAACCTACTGTGCATTTTATTCAAAAACATCCAGGTTCTCCTCAGGCAGGAATCATGTTAAGGACTTCTAACTTAGGATTATGTGTGGGCATTTTACAAAAATGAAAAATTATGAAAAATGTGAAAATGTGTCGGAGTATGAAATGGTTTTGGTGCTCTGGGAGGTAGTATCAGATTTCCTTACTAGTTAAGGATAGATAACAATAATAAGAGTTTGCAGGATGCAGTCAGTAGAGTTATGCTATTGAGGACTGAATTGTGATTGCAATAGATAGATAGATAGATAGATAGATCTTACTACCTTACTAAATTC